AGAAGACGCCCCGGGGTTTGGAACAAGCGTGTGGATGAGGGTGGGCAACCCCAGCCCCTGAGCCGAACCCGACAGGCCCCCCGTTTCTGCACAGCCCGAGAGCTAAGGAGGGCTTGTGCATTTTTCTATGCTTGGGAGAAGTATCTTGTGACGCACGAGGCTGCCACATTTCAAGGGCCATAAACAAAGCTTTATTGGAGCCCAGTCCGCTCCCTCGTTCCTGCATCATTCATGGTGCTTTTGTGCTGCGTGTGAGGCAAAGGAAACCGCCGCGGCAGAGCCCGCGGGGCCGCCAAGGCTACCGTAAACACATCACCGCGGACGTCCGCCAGCCCTCGGCACAGACCTCGGGGCCCCGTCCGGGGCTCCGGACAGGAGAGAGCGCAGGGTCGGTGGGGCGTGTTCTCCTGGCACCCCGCACCTGCCCGGGAACCGCCACCGCGTCCGACACCCCCGGTTCAGCTCCTGTTCCCCTCCAGCTTCACATCCAGGCCCCAAGGGCCAGGCCCACTCCGCTGCCGGATCCGACTCCAGGACGCCACCACTGACCTGCAGAGGGTCCGACGTGCCCGTCCCTGCGCCCAGCGTCCTGGCCGAGGCTGCCACAACCCAGCCCATCCCCCCAGGGACGCACAAGGGCCCAGCTCAGAGTGACTCTATCTATCACCCGCACCCACCGGCTGCCTGGACACACCTCCCTATGGATTCATTTCCCAGCAAGCATTTGCTGAATCTGTGCCTTGTGTTGGGAGGTCAGGAGGTAATAATAACTAATAAAAAGACAGGAGTGGCCTCTGTCCTCGTGGTGCGAGGCATCTAACGCATGAGAAGCATTAACAAGCAAGACCCCAAATAACTGTCCAACTGCGGCTTCCTTTGACCAGCGTCGTGAAGGAAAGCTGAGTAGGCGACGGGACCTCGGTCCTCGAGAACCCCCCGGGGGGTCTGAAGGACGGTGGGCGTCCCCTGTACAGGGGGGAAGAGAGCGGTGGCCCATATCCGGCAAAGGGAGCCGGATCCACTTCAAAGGCTCCGGGGAGCGCGGTGCATTTAAGGGACAAGGAGGACACAGAGGACGTTGCGGCTGGAGCTGGGCGAGGGGGCAGCGGTGGGAGCGTGGCGGGGACCCCCCTTCCCGCCTTCCCCTGCACACCCTCACGCACGCCGCTCCCCGAGCGGGCGGGACCCTGCCTGAGCAGAGGGGCGGAATGCATCACCCCTTGCCCACACCGCAGTTGTATTGCCCGGCCATAACTGTTCAGGTAAGGAGACAAATGGCACGTAAATTGCCTGGGCTGTAATTTAGTGTGGCTTGGGAAAGGCTGTAACTGGTTTGGACGGCGGAATCACACGTGTGTCAAGCAGGCACCTGCGCCCGTGAGGGTTTGCGCGAAGCGTGAAGCACTCGCCTGGGGCGTGGGGCGGGCGGCGATAATCCTCACCAATACCCTCTTATCACCGCATCGCGTCATTCCTGTTTCAGGGTCCAGGAGTGAAATATTTAAAAAAAACAGTCAAAATTGGGATACATTTCTCTCTCTTTTTTAAAACAATGTCACAAACATTATGGACACATCCTCCTTCCTCTTCAAATTTAAACTGTTCCGTTCGTGCGACCTTGTGGAGGAGAAGCTGGTGGGGACAGCCTCCCGCCCCCCAGGCGGAGGCAGGCTGGGTCCGGTCTCCAGAGACTCTGCTGCGGCCCCCCACTTTCCGGGGCGCCCCCCCTCCTCCAGTCCCCGGGAACTCTGAGTGACGGTTGGAGGGCAGGATCTGTCGCCAGCGTGGGCTCAGAAAGTGCTGCGTCAGCCTGGGGCCAGACCGTGAGTCACGGCCTGGGCTGATCGGCTCTGATCCGCAGTTTGGATCGAAGAACGCAGGCCAGTGCTTTCCCCCCCGGGAGGTCTCTGTCCTGCCGGCAGCCGGAGGGGGGTGTCCTCGTTTGAACCCTCGGCCCTCCCTCTGCTCCCAGACCGACCTCTCAGCACAGCTCTGGGCCGGCAGTGGGTCCGGGAGGACCCGTCAGGCTGCTTGTGCCTCGGTTTCCCCGACGGAAGCCTTGAGTGAGGCTGCTCCTGAGAGGTGTGTGAGATTCACCTGCCGATGAAACCAAAGTTAACCAAGATGCCTCCTGACACCGTAAAGTGCTTAACAGAGTAGGCAGATGGCAGCTCGCCAGCCAGGCGCTTGGCTGATAATGTGTTTTTCAGCCAGGGCCGTTCTCACGTGCACACACACACAGGATGTTTGTGTTAGCGGCTGCCCCCTGGGACGTCGTACCTGGAGTTCCCCGGGCACAGCTCACCTTGAGGCCCCGGCAGGACTGGCAGCCGTGGGCCTTGTTCCCGGAGGAGGGCCGGGGGCCGGGCTGAGCAGCAGCTGGGCCTCGAGGTGGGGGCGGGCCCTGCAGCTGGCCAGGGCCCCCCTCCCCATCTGGGGGGAGTTTCATGCCGCTTCCACACTCGTGGCCTGTCTGGCTCCAATGCCGTCAGATTCCTGGGCCCTGCAGGTTCGAGCTTGTGACCTCTGGCTCGGACTCAGAGGATGGGAATCCCACACAGAACATGGGGCCCAGAGCCGGAGGGGCCAGAGGATGGCCACCCGCCGCCCCCAGAGGCCAGGCAGAGCGGAGCACCTGGGCTTCCCAGGCAGACAGGAAACTCGGGGTGGACTCTCAGGGACCCCTACTCAGCTGGGTGACATGGGGCGTGTTCGCTCATTGCTGTTTCTTCAGTGGTAACATGGGGATAGCTGTGCCACCCGTCACTTACTGTGCCCCCAGGGTATGCCTGGCACCGTGCCCTCTGTCTCCAGCCCGCCCTGTATCTCTGCCAGGCACGATTTCCACTCACTCTCGACCTGGAGGCTGGGGAACCTCCCGGGAGAACCGACCTCGGATGCCGAGCTGGGACACAGCCCCTGCGGTGCCTGTGGTGCCTGTGCTTTGGGGGCGTTTGGCGGGGGCGGGGGGCAGGCACATCGCAGGAAGGGCTTTAGGAAGAAGACCCAGGCTCCTGGGACTCAGCCATGGTACCAGTTAACCAGCCTCACCCTGACCCGTCGTGCCCAGGGGAGAGGGACAGCCCCCTGCTAAGTGCCCAGCGCCCATCGGCTCTGCGGTGGGGTCTCTCCAGGGTCCGGAGCACAGGCTGCTCTCCCTCCACACCTGCGGCCCCAAGGGAGGCGGGGGTGCTAGGGGCTGGGCAGCAGCCAGGGCCCTCGGCGGTTCCCTAGGAAACAGCCTGGGATACGGTTAAGGAGCCCAGCCGTCCCCTCAGAGCATCTGAGGCACACCCAGAACCCCTGATTCCATACCACTTGTGTGTGTGTGTGTGTGTATACATTTGCATGTATACATATAATGTGTGCGTGTTACATGTATACAGAACAATATGCATATAAGCCTATGTTTGTGTGTATGTGCATATACATGTATACATGCATGACATATCTTGAGCCTTGGGACACACTCATACAATAAACGATGTCAAAAAACTTCCGGTTACGAAGTAAGTCCTGGGGCTGGGATGCCCGGCGTGCTGATGGTCATTAACAGTACGATGTTGTGCGTTGTACGTTTGAAAGTTGCTGAAAGGGCACACAGTTCTCCTCACAGGGGAAAAACACTGCAGCTGTGTGTGAGGGTGGATGTAACTAAGCGGGTTGTGGGTGGTCACTTTGCAGTGCGGACGCACCTCACATCCTTATATTGTACACCTGATACAGCGTTATATGTCGGGGATATCTCGATTTAATAGATAGACGGATACATGCTTTCCCTAAGCCTCTGTGTATCTTACCATGGAGTGAGGTGTCCAGGCCAGGGGGTGGTTAGGGATCTGAGAGGGGCCTCGCGCCCTGCCGTGGGAAAGGTAGCAGTCCGCCCAGTGAGCTGACTCGGAGGAGCTCACAGGGCTCATCATGCCCAGCAGCGGGGGCCCAGAGGAAGCAGCCACCCACACACGCTCCTGCTCTGTTTTTGTAGGTGACTCCTAGGGGATTGCCGGGGTTACGTCTGGAGTTGCTTTGCTGGAAGGGGGGAGGCTGATTCCTTTCTACCTAGAGCTCCAGGTGCGGGTAGCGCCGCGGTGCAGCCGAGGGGCGTCCGGGGACGGGCCCGGCTCTGGCCTCCGCAGCCTTGCCTCCGAAAGGCGAGGTTTGGTTCCTGCCCTTGCTTTGGTTCTTCTGTTATTTCAGGAGCGTGACAAAAGCGGACACAGAGCCCTCTGAGAGGCAGACGACAGCCGGGTCTGAGTTCAAGGCTGAAGGTGCACACGGGAGAGACGATGAGGAAGGACAGCGATTTCACATACATAGGTTTTATCTTAAACAACTAGCCACATGCGTCCTGGAAGGCTTTCGGGGCTCAGAGGTGACTGACGCCCCCGTGACCTTCCTGCTGCGGCTGCTCTCTCCTACTGGTCAGGAGATGCAGGAATATTCTAGAACAGGATTCCCCGGGAACCACCAGGGAGCTGTCCCCGCAGGCCTTCCCCGGCCAGCTGCTGGCATTCCGGCGGCCATCCCGGGGGAAGCGTTCGGTGCCAGGAGAGCTCCCCTACCAGCGGCCTTTGATGAGCAGTGCGGCCGCCGTCACGGTGCCCAGGGCCCAGGTGGCTTTCCTCGCTCCTCAAACATCGTGGACTCAGGCGCCAGAGCCGTTTTATGGGGAACGAGGGGCAGGCTTCGTGGGCCTCTCCCATCTGGGGACCCCCCTCTCTGTCCCCCTCCAAATCCCTTTCTCCTCCCGCCACACCGCAGACCCGCATGCCGGTGGGCCAGGAACCAGTGAGGGAGTGCCACTGAGGGACGACAGGTTTGTCCTGACAACGGGGCTTTCCCGGGGCGGGGGACCCCTACCTGCCTACCTACCCACCTGAGGCCTGCTTCTAAAACTGCAGACTCCCGGGCCCTGCAGCCTTCCAGCGCCAGCCAGAGCGAGCACTGGCGTTTTTAGCGTGGCCCAGGTCCTGCGGACTTCTGAGACCCGCCGCCCTATCATGTGCTGAGACCCGCCGCCCTGTCATGTGCTGAGACCGCAAGTGGGGGGGCACCAGGGGAAAATGGCTGCCCTGTGACGATTTACACATTTCTGAGACGTGACCACGGAGGAGAGGGGGTGAGAGGAGACCCCTGGGCTGTCTCTGGTGGGCATGAGGCTGGACCTTTTGCAAGCACGACTTTGCAGGCAACCACGAATGAGTGAGGTCCACTGCTTCCCATTTGGCAGGTGGGAAAACTGGAGGCTGAGAACAGCTCAGGGTCCCATGGCCAGCACAGGGTCCCACGGCCAGTAAGGGCCCGAGCACAGATCCTTGAATCTGGGCCAGCCAGACACCCCTCCGTCTTGGCTCCGGGGTGACCTCCCAATCCGGGTGCCGGCAGCTCCCGGGTTGACAAGCCGGATGGTGCAGGAGGCCGGGCAGGCTGGCAGGCAGCGCGGCCCATCGGTCCCTGCCCTGACGTCCCGGGGGTGGCCCAGCAGAGAGCTGCAGTCACGGGGGTGGATGTGTGACTGCAGGCTGCTGTGCAAACAGAAGAGCCGCCATCTCATGTCTCGCCATCTCACCGTTTGTCCGGAGATCGCCGGATCCCCGTCTCTGTTGACGGAGTCTGGCAAGTGGCAGGGGTTGGGTGACCAGGACCCCCGGGCGACTCAACAACAGCTGCAGGATCCACACTCCACACGGCAGGCCCTGGGGAGCCAGACGGGGCCAACAGTTGGGGGCTCCATGTGGTGCTTCTCGCCAGTGGAAGGTGGGGGGCTGCCTCAGACCAGGAGCGCTCTCCCCTGAAACCCGCGCCTGTGACCCTGATGGGCCTGGACAGAAAGCCGCACAGAACACTCACGCCTGTCCCTCTCCTTCTTTTCCCTCTCTCCCTTCTTTTCCTCTCTTCCTTCATCCTTAGCTCAGACTTGCAAAGGGCACCTACTACGTGCAAAGAGCCGAGCCTGCCGAGGTCGCTGGAAGAGACAGGAAGTAGGCAGGTGGCATGAGGCCTACTGAGTGGTGGGCATTGCTCTTGAACTTACACAGACTGCAACCAGTCACCCCTCTGTGTTTGACTCCCAGCTGGGAACACTGGGAATCTCTTCACAGCCGGCCCCTTCCCAGGTGCGCGCCAGCTGCGGGAAGCCGTGGGAACGGTGGGGGGAGGGTTAGGGGTCAGGGGTCGGTGTGTGTGTGTGCGCGTGCCTGGGGCTTCTGCACTCACCTCCTCTTCCTGTGCCTCTGGAGATCCTAGGGGATGTTCACCTCACAGCCCAGCTGTGGATAATACGCGTTTATTGAGTGTCTACTAGGTGCCTGGCAGGAACATGTTATCTCATCAAATCCTCATTTTTCAAAAAACTGAAGTAGGTGTCCTTATTCTCAGTTGGATAAGTAGGAAAACCCAGGGCCCCAAGGGTTGCATTTCTCGCCTTAAGATAAAAACCTTAAGATAAGATGGTAAGAAAAGCCGGGAACCCCCAACAAGCGCTGACTGAGGGCCCACTGCTCTGTGACAGCCACACAGGTTCAAGCCCAGCACTTGTCTTGTTCCGACCCTACCCCGGGGGCCTGGTGGGCCCCGCGGGGAAGCCAGCTGGGACTTGGGTGTGTCTTGTGCTGCGACAGAGCCCTGGTGTTTACTTGTGCACTCATTATTTATAAAAGCATCCACGCGTTCTTTCACTCACTTATTCATTCAACAAACACCGATGGAGTGAGTGCCTACCGTGTGCGGGTACGGTGTCATTGACTGGGAATTCTTGCCTGGCCGGGAAGCGAGGTGGACCGGGGCCAGGTGAGGAGGAGGGACCTGGAGGCGGGGCCCAAGAGCTCCTGGCTAGGGCGCCAGCACGTGCGAAGGGCCAGCGCTGAGGGCAGAGGCTCAGAGGGGCTGAGACACCCCCGCTGCAGACCCACAGGCGTCTCCACCGCACCCTGACCCGGCCCTCGGTGAGCAGAGCCCCGAGTCCCCAGGCCGCCGGCCTTTCTGCCATCGCATCAGACTCTATCAGTCAGTCACCAAGGCCTCGCGACTTTGCTCCCCTACTTCTCAAACCGGTCGTCGTCTCTCAGTTCCTCACCTGTTTGTGTGCTGGGGTCACTGACACGGCACCGCCCAGGCCCTCTGGCCCCTGCATTTACTGTGGGCCTGCAGGGGGCAGGACAAGCCGGGCGTAACCCCTGCCTCTCCGGGCGGCTGAGCAGGAGCCAGACACTGTCCCGCCGGCCTTCAGACGGTCTCCCTGCCCCAGGCTTGTTTCTGCCCCTGCACACCCCGCACTTAGCCAGATGACCCCTGTGCAAAGGACGTCTGGCAGTGCCCCCCCACACCCTTAAAGGGTATCCGTGACCCCTGGGACAGTCCGGTTATCTTCACACAGCCCGCACCTGGCGTGTCTGTCACCTGCCACACCCACACTGCCCCTGGAAACAGGTGCCCCTGTGAGGACCCTAAAGAGGGAGCAGCTAAAGGACTGGGCACCCCTGGGCACCATGTAGTCAGGACCTTTCTCATCTGTACCTGCTTTTCATTCAGTCGCGTGGCGTGCGGTGCAATACCTTAGAGACGGGACGGAATGAAAAAGCTCGGTCTCGTGCTGGGTCGCATCGGGCCAGTGGAGGGCGCTCTGCTGTTCAGCCCTCTGGCTTGCGTGCCTGCTTTGCAGCTGGAGGCAGATTCAACGTCCTTCTGCCTCCAGGGCCTGTGGCTGGCAGACTGGTGGCCTCCTGGCTAAAGTGGCCCGGAGGTGCTGTCCCCGGCTTGCTCTAATGGTCTTAATGAAAACACTTTATCCTTATCTGCTTTGGGCTAATCTCAGCAAAGGCCCGAGGTCACCCTTTTCAAGCATCTACAATAGCTCTCAAAAGCTGTTCCCTTTCAAGTTCAGGAACAAATATTTCAGGGCTTTACGAGGGTCTCTGGAACTGTTCTATGACTTTAATTTTCAAATCTTTTTTAAAAAATGATGCCAAATAGCCCTGGCTGGCGTAGCTCAGTGGATTGAGCTCGGGCTGTGAACCAAAGTGTCGCAGGTTCAATTCCCAGTCAGGGCACATGCCTGGGTTGCAGGCCATGGCCCCCAGCAACCTCCCATTGATGTTTCTCTCTCTCTCTCTCTCTCTCTCTCTTTCTCTCTCTTTCTCCCTCCCTTCCTTCTCTAAAAGTAAATAAATAAAATCTTTTTTAAAAATAAAAGACTTTAAAAAAATAATGCCAACTTGATTTTTACTTACTGATTTTGGTCTTTTTTCAAAAAAATGCATGCATACTTACACAAATTTTAACACAGCCTTCTCTGGAAAAGAACATGAGAGGCAAAGAGTCCTCACGCATGGAGGACACACACGTCGGAGTGGGACAGATCTGGGTTTGAGTCTCGGACTCGGCACGCCCCCCTGTTTGGCAGTGGACCAGGTGCCCCCCTCTCTGAGCATTTGGCCTATTCATAGAGAAAGCAAGAATCATCACAACGTGTGTTTTGCAGATGGAAGGAGACCTGGAGCTCACTTGTGGAAGCCCTGGTTCAAGGCCAACGGGAGTTCAAGTCCTCCCCTCCTCTGGAACTGGTGAGCTCGTCACTGGCCAGAGTTGGCGACCACGCGCTGTGTGCGCCCCCGTCCAAACCCTGCACCCACACAAGTCTCTCCCCGCTGGGTCCCAGGGTAGTCTCAGCATTCTTCCAGTGCAGCCTCAACCAACCTGTCTGAGTTTTCCACGAGATGAAACATGTCACCGTGTTGACCTCTGGCCCTCGTGGCTCAGAAACTGCGCGTGGCAGAAGCTCAGGGCAGCGGAGGGGCCCCTGGGGAGCAGGCAATGACCTTTCTTCGGGCTTTTTCCGCCTTCCATTTGTAAGACCATAAACTCCCCGGGAATCCAAGCTGACCAGCCTGTTTATCCAACGCCCTCATTTATAGGCAAGACCGTTAGAGAAAGTAGGAGCCAGCTGTTCCAGCAAGCCACCTGGCACTGGCTGTCACTTGTTAGCCCACCAACCCATCACACAAGGCCACCCCAGGCTTCCCGGCTGTTCTTTAGAGCTCGATGTCAACACGGGAGGCTCGGGGCCGGAAGAGGAAGGAACCCGAGGCCGGCCCAGGCCTGCTCTGTGGGGCCCAGGCCAGTGGGACCTTGCTCGGGTTCTCGGCAAGTCTGCCTAAGGCCAAGGTCAACGGCATTGCTTCCCAGCCCAGGAGGAGCGCCACTGCTGGGATCAACTGTTGGTGGCAGTTTTGTGCTCTGCTACCAAGACCTGACCTGCCACCAACCCTCGACTTCTCACCCTGTCCCCCTGGGCCTCCTTCGCCTGCCAAAGGGACTGGTGGCTCCGAGCTCACCAGGACCTCCGACCACCGCAGGGCATGATGCTACGGGAGCCCATGGGCTGGAGCCTGGAGTCGTGCTCTGTCTGTGTGGCATTCCGGGGCGGGGCGGGACGGAGGTCTGCAAGATTCATCTGCCTTGGACACTTGGAGCCGAGCGAATTCCCACTAAAAATCACTGCACTAGGAAGATTTAAAGGGCAGACGCTCCAGAAGGGAGCCCGAGGCTAAGGAGGCGGAAGGCAGAGGGAAGCGAGGGCAGGGAGAAGTTGTAGAAGGACCCCTTGAGTTGCTTGCTACATGTGAGATGTGGCTGGGAGGCGGCGATTGGGCAACTGAGTGTCTTCAACGGGGTCTTCTGTGATCTGGTTTCTTCTTACTTCCCCATCTCTTGGCCACCTTCCCCCGCCACACACTCTCCTCTGTCATTTGGGTCCATTTGCTATTCTTCGAACATGGCTGGTGTTTGCCACTGGAGGCTGACGTGCGTCCGAATTACTTCACCTGGTACGTTCCGCTCTGCTCGGCGCAAGAAGGAATTCTCTGCGCAGCCGCTGAGCACACGAGCTGCCTGCAGCTGTCACAGGGAAGCCCACTGTTGACAGGTTCTAGCTGGGACTGGACCGTCCACGGGCCGAGCCTGCTGCTTCCAGGAGCCCTTGCGAGCCAGCGATGGTGTAAAACGGGATGCGTCCATCTGGGTTGCCGCCCGCAGAGGGTGGAGAGAGTTAATTTGGTCTGGGGAAGAGCCAGGAACCAGAGCGGGCCCGTTGCCAGAAGACCCCCTGCGGATAGAAGACAGGGCCATCTCATTCAAAACCGCCCGCGGCAGTCCGACCCTTATTAAAGAGGAATGTAAAATCGCAGCGTGGACACTGTGGCTATCCATAAAAGATCTTACAAGGATGATTACAAGGCAAGTTCGCTGTCCCTCTTAAACACAGCAGTTATTCAGCTCCCTCGACGACACTGGGGGTATGAGGGGCGACTCGCGGAGCTGTGGACGTCAGGAGACGTGGGAATGATTCATGGATATGCTCCTTTCTCATTACTTAGTGTTACTCGTTTCACCCCAAAGCCCTGCGGTCACGGAGACGGAAAAATGCTTACCGCGGAAAACACGACATTGAACCCAATTACCCTCCGGTTGCCGAACAGCAGACCCGGGGGCCCCTCCCAAGAAGGGTCAGCCCTGAGCAGGGGCTCCGACCGTGGTCCCGACCGACCGGGGGCGGGCGGAATCGGGGCATCTCCGCGCCCCAGCCCGGCGTCCTTGCACCAGGAGGGAGCGAGTCTACGGCCAGCAGCTTCCGCCGGCACAGCTCCAGCTGAGCTTTTCCAGTTCACGTGACCGGGATTCGGTCTGAATTCTCTCTAAATTCCCAGTGGGGATTTAGATCACCTCTTGGGGCCCGTGTTCTCTCCAGACCTCTAGCCCCTTGCCCAGGAGACTCCTGCCCTGTCCTAGCCCCGTCTTATTGCCCACACACTGCGACTGCCACTCACTGGTCACTGTCCAGCCCCCTGGAGCTCACAGACGTGCCCAGACCCTTTCTCCCGTGCGCAGATTCAAACACAGCAGATGAACACGTGGTTTGATTGCTGTGGCATCTCCAGGCCTCCCAGACCGGCCACCGGGCGCTGCCGGGGGCTCTGGCCACACTCAAGGCTGAGCCCTGGTCCCGACACCACTCACACTTCCCGTGAGGCCACCCACGGGGCGCAAGGGGTTTGGCAGGGGCTCCATAGGATGGCGCCTCCCCGGACTCCCTGTCAACGCAATCCCAGGCCCTTCCTCACTGGACAGAGCATGAGGGAGTCCTCCGACCACCAGTCGTGATGAGAATAAGAATATGGAGCTTTTGAATCTGGGCAGGTCATGAACACGGGTTCAGCGCTGTCGGGGCGGAGGTCCCGAAGTCCTGCAGCTCAGGCCAAGGAAGGGCCCTGTTGTTCTCAGAGAAGCAGGACGATGACAGACGGTCCCGGCCAGTCCTGGCCTGCGTCGGAGGTCGAAAGAGGCAGCAGCTACCTCCCGAGCCCGCCCAGCTCTCTTGGGCCCCCTGCATACGCGCCACCTACGTTGTAAAAATGGGTAGGCGCTAAAATAGCTCCTGACCCAGCAGCCCGCCCCCGCTCCCTGCGTGGCCCCACCCCTGTTACCTACACACACACACACACACACACACACACACACACACACACACAAGCTATAACCTTAAGCAGTGGGCCCTGGGGCGACAGGTTGGGGAGAACAAGGAACAGAATACCGATACACACTATAGCGTGCGTAAACCACAAAACAATGTGCTCAGAGAAGGAAGCCGGACACGAAAGACCACATATTTATCTCATGAGTCCATTCGTGTGCAATGGGCAGAAAAGGCACGTCCACAGGCAGAAAGTGAGTGAGGGGTCCCCTGGCGTGCGGGTAGGAGCGGGGAGGCAGTGCTCAGGGACAGGAAGCTTCTCTTCGGGGGGCTGGGAGTGTTCTAAAAGTAGGTCGGAGTGCCAGCTGCACCACCCTGTACATACGCTTTTAAAAGGTTATTGGGTCGCACACTCAGAATGGATGCACTTCACGGCAACTTACACCTCAAGCAACTGCTGTTGAAAAGCAGCTGGCCCTGAGCCTGGACACCGCGAGCGTCTGTGGCCGTGGGGCGGACTGCCACGCTCTCGCTCCCTGACAAGGGGGAACGTGGGCTGGGCGCCAGCTCTCCCGGCTTCCCGGCCAGGCCTCGCGCCGGCAGCTGGTGATGGGGCAGCTCTGCTCACCAGGGGTGATTGGGGGTGGTCCCCCCCAGGGTCGTCCAACTCCCAGTGGCCCGGTGGGGTTTGGGGGGACCCAGGAGCCCCCGGGGTTGCATCTGATCACTGAGTGTGTGCGTGGGGCCTGTCTCCGTGCTCTCCCCAGATTCCCAAGGGGACCCGGGGCCCGTGGGCAGTAGGAAAGGGGCCCCAGACCTCGGTGGTCCAAGCGCCCTGCAGACAGGAGGGTCTGGGGCGGCGGTGTCCTCTGAGTTGACTTAGTCTCCGGAGTCTGTACTCTGGCGCCACCGCCACCTCCCACCTCGGTGACAGGTGATTTTGTTTTCTCTCTCCTAGGGAAATATTTGCATAGGGAGCGGTGGGGGGCTGGGAACCACGCCCCATCTCAGCGTTGCTGAGCTCCTTGCCGGTCCAGCCGGAATGGGTCACTGGGGAGCACAGCGGGGGAGCAACGTGCCGTCTGTCCCTGTAGGCTCTGGCCGAACTCTTGCTTTGTGGGGGGCCGCAGCCCGACCTCTCCCTCCACTCCCTCGGAGCTGGGGTCCGAGGGCTCACCCTGCAGGCGGCCTGGGCCGCCGGCGGTAGGATGGAGCAGGGGTGGGGCAGGAGACTGGGAAGGGAACTTCAGGGTAGGGTTGGCAGGCTCAGTGAGGGTGGGCTTCTGTGCCACGATCCAACTGTTTTTAATAATAACGCCTTTAATACTAATGCCTCGGCAGCCACATTTACACCAGGAAAAAACCCAGATGGAGCAAAGATCATTAAAAACCTGAGGTACATCAGAACCCTTTAAAAAATGTAAGAGACGTAGCTGGCTCTAACGAAGCCGGTATGTTCTTCCCGCATCCAAGACGGAAATGCGGGCAGAGCTGCCGACCTCCGAGGCCTCCCTCTTGGGCCTGCGGACCGCCGTCCGGCCTGCCCCGTCCTCTGCGCGCTCCCCCGCCCGGGCCGTTCTCTCTGCGCCCTCATTCCCTCTTCTCGGACAGACGTCAGTCATACGGGAATAGGGCCCTCACCTCCCTCAGTGGTTTGGGTGCCCCTAAAGTCAGGGCCCCTCTGAGTCACCTCCGTGGTCGTCGCTCTCAGCATTGTTCGGCTCACTGCCCAGTCTTCAGCCGCACCAGCAACTGTCGCTGTCGTTTAGCCGGCAGTGTGCTGGGAGGGAAGGTGCCGGGCGGAAGGTGAGGCCGGAGGGGAATGCTGTGCAGGAAGGAGCGGCTCCCCCGCCACCAGCACGCTGGGCGAGCCGTGGGCTTCAGAGTCTCTGCTGTGGGGGGTGGGGGGTTAGCAGGGCCCCCCTCTGGGGGCTGACGGGAGGACCACCCCCAGGTGGGGTTCACGGGACATCGCTCACGCCCTCTGGCTCACACCCCACCACCCGGTGCCCCATGCGGGCTCCTGGGGCTGGTGTTCCACTTCTGGGAATTACAGCGTGATGGCCTTCGTGTGAAAACCCAGGCGGTTGCGCAACCTTTCCGGGGAAATGACTAACTAGTTCATCTGAAACCTTGTACACACTCGATTATGTTTCTAAAGGTCAAGGGAGCGGCTGTGGTGGTGGAGGATGGCACCACTGGGCTGGATTCCATGTTAATGCGGCATGGGAAGAAACACCGAAAAGTGGACTGAGGACCTACTGTGTGTCAGACATGTAGTGGGCCTGCAGGAGAAACAGCAGTGCGTTGAGCAGCCCCTGTGCTGTGGGGGCTCACAAGGAGTGGGCGGTCAGTGCCGGCCAAGATGGAAAGACACAGGGCAGCCTGCGGTGGGGACGAGAATGCACAGCGTCTTCTCGGGTGCATGGAGCCACCCTCTGGAACACGGGGGGCCTCCCGGGGGGCTTCCCGGTGTCAGAGCGCCAGTCTGTGCGCCGAGATCAACGGAACGAAACCGAATCCTCTGAGCGCAGGACATGAAAGAGCCTCCAGAGGCCTCTGCCCAGAGCCTGACCCGGGACACAGAGGGACCGCCCCCTCCTCTCCGCCCACATGCCCAGAGTCTGCTTCCTTCACTCTGGGTGGGGCCAGGCTCCTAAAAATTCCACCCCCTCCCGGTGCCTTTGGGGAACACCTCCTACCAATCTTGTCGGGCATTCCCCAACCAGCCCCCTAACAGATGAGCCAGCTCAGCAAGGGCTGGAGAGGGAGACAGCAGACCTCTCGTTCACTCCTTCCTTCCTTCCTTCCTTCCTTCCTTCCTTCCTTCCTTCCTTCCTTCCTTCCTTCCTTCCTTCCTTCCAGCAGTCATTCATTCCCGATGGTCAGGGGCACGGCAGGCCCCTCCTGGGTGGAGAGCAGCTTCATCAGCCGTGAGGGAGGCTCCGTCCACCTCGGAGCCTGGGTCACTTCAGCAGAGCGTCAGAGGACCCCTCGGCACCGAGGGCTCCACCGCCCAGGCGAGCACAGGAAGCCACGTGGAGAGGCGGCCTAGGTGCAGGAGGCAGGAAGCACTTCAGACAAGAGGAGTCTTGTGAGCAACACTCGAGCCGATGAGGAAGGTGATGAGTGCAGTTCACTTGGCACTTGAGGGCAGCCAGGTCCGAGGGGGTGGGGCCTGCATGAGCTCAGATACGTACTGTGCACGGGCGTCGGCCAGAGAAAAGGCTTTGCTGACAAACGAAGAGCAAGCGACACTGTTCGAAAGGAGTCTTCAGGCAGGGCGGCCGGCACGGAGCTGGCACCCTGCACCGCGTGTCTGCCCGCCTCGGGGGGCCACACGCTGGGCCTCGGCCCCTGACACCGGCTCTCGCCCCGAGGCCCCGTCTCAGGCCAACCCGGCCACGCGTGGACTGGACTGTGTGGTTTCTGGGCTGCTCGGAGCCGTGGGCACCCGCCTTTACTGCCTCTTCCACACCCCCCGTTCTCTCTGGGGTCATTCCTAGCAGCAGGCTAGTATTATGTTGTTTGTCGGTCCATCTGTCCATCTGTCACCTATCTGTATCTTCTATCTTTCCACCTACCGACCGATCTATCCGTCCCCCACCTACCTACCTACCTGCACGCCGGCCCACCTACCACCTCTCCACCTCTCATCCGTCCACCCACTTATCTTCTGTCACCCACCCTGCACCCCTCCTCGGGTTGCTATTTTATTTCTCTCCTCCCTTTCGAAAGAAATTCCCTGGATGATTTGTCACTATTTTTCTCTCAAATCTACTGCAAACAAGCTTCCGGCTCCACCACGCACGGAAACAACTCCTTCCGAGGTGACCGATGACTCCCACGTTGTCAGTCCAACGGCCGGATGTCGGTGTTGCTCAGTGTTGCCCTTACTTGGCCCATCGAGAGCTTCTTACACATGTGCCCGTAGAGCCATCGGCTTCGGGGCGCGTGCATGGCTGTGCGCTTTAATGGTGCGGGTTCCCCGGAATCTGAACGTAGAGTGTCTCTGTGGAACCTTCCGTGAACTGCAAAGTCGTGCCGCGGGGAAGCGGCTGCCGTGTGTGAGCGAGGGGACGGCAGACACGGAGAGGGGCCCGCAGCAACCGCGCAGCCAGGCCCACCTCCTCCGGGGGGAGCGGGGGTGGCCCGGGGACCACAGCGCAGGACACTCCACAGGAGCCAGGGCCGCCCCACTGCGCCCCCCTCCTGATAGTGGGGCGGTGGCTGCGGCAGGCCGGGTGGGAAGACACAGCCTGCGACCAGGTGGAGGCGACGTGAGCTCCACCCCTTTGCCTCCAGGTCGTGAGGCCTGGAAGGATGGCTCGGCCTCTCGAAGTTTCTGCTTCCTCGGTCCAGGGGACCGTGAAGGCCGAATGGAGATAACCTCCCTGACCTCCTCGTTTCCTTCCTGACCGTCCGGTGTGACGGGGGAGCAGCAGCAACAACCCGAACCCTCTGGTCTGCAGGGAGGCTGAAATACGCGTGAAAAGTGCTTAGAACCAGCGACGATCATCATAATCACGGATGGGACACAGAGTCCCGGCCCCTGTCCTCGTGGTGGCCTGGGCCCGTGTTTTCCTGTCAGTGCCGTGCTCCCGCGCTGAGCCTGACAGCCGACCTGTGACTGTCATGGCAAACTGTCGGGAACGGTCGGCACTGAGTGGGACGAGGGTGGTGAAGGGCCGGGGAGGACCCCCTGCCGCAGGGCCGGCGCTCAGGCACAGCGGGCAGGCTGTGCCTCATCAGAACTCCGGCCTCGCAGGCGGGGACCCCGGACCTGACATCCTGGCCGCTCCCCACACCCAGTGTCCCGTCTGCAGCGACACGAGACTTTATCTGCATCTCCTTTTCCTCATCCGTAAAATGGGAATAAAAACCGTCCTACTTCCGCAAGACAGGGGGGACGATTCGCTCAAGAGATTCAGTGGGTAATGTGCTTTGCCGGGTGGCAAATGCTTGGCAGAGAGGCAAAGGGTCACCAAAGGCGCTGGGATCGTGGTCCCTGCCCCCAGCTGCCGTTCACTCGAGGGCGCAGCCCGTCGAGGGCCTGCCTTGCAGGGCGGCTCTGCACCTGCCCTGACGCTGCCTGGAGCCACAGTCCGAACCACTCATCACCTTGTGTGTCTGCGTGAACACCCCCAAACCCGCCCGCGCCCTCGCTGGGGCTCTCGGCAGCGAGGTGAAGCTCCGCGTGTTCCTCGTGTGACGCGGTCCCAGCGCCAGCCCCAGGGAGCGGTGCCGTGTGGGAAGACCAGACGCGCCCCCCGGCGTCGGGCGCTGCCGCCGTTCTGAGACCCAGGCGTGTGCCTGCATTCAAGGACGCGGTGCTTCCCTTGGTGTCCTGCTGTGCCTTCCCGTGTAACACAGGTTTTCATACTCTCTTGGCAAGGTGTCTAAACTGTCAAGCAGGGGAAATCAGGGTGATAGACAGCAATTGTGGGAAGACACGATGGGTGTTAAACACGTGGCCGGAAACAACTGGGATACCAGACGAGGGTTGTCCTGAAAGCATCCAGCCAGGAACCGTGAAAAACAGGGACATTTGTGGGAGAAGATGCACAAGAAACACTGTACACAGGACAAGGACCCCTCAGTCCCCTTCACAGCAGGCACCTTGGGACCTCACACAGTTCTCCCAGTGTCTCTTCCACTGTTCAAAACTCACCGCAAAATCCTTTGTTGGAGTCACCATTTGCTGGCCCGTTGTATTTTCCTGCATCTCATCAACGATCTAAAATCTCTTCCCTTTCAACGGTGATTTCAGTTTTGGAAAAAGCCAGAAGTCACAGGACACCAAATCTGGGCCCTAGGGGGCCTGAGTCACCTGGGTGATTTGATGTTTCACCAAAAAACTGCACAAGACGTGATGCATGAGCAGGCGCATTGTTGTGATGAAGCTGCCAATCACCAGTTACCCATAGCTGCGGCCTTCTGAGTCATCCGAATCATTTCTGTGGAGGGATGTTCAAGCTTGATGCAAAATTTGATGCAGATTCATTGCTCTACTCATTTTGAATGTGACGGCCACACAGTGCACATGCTCACTCAGCAGCATCTACCGCCCCCACTGACTAGTACAGTGAGGTCGTCATTGTTCACGCATGTGCGTTCCAGTCCCCTCTCCTTGGCTGCCTGGTTACATCGCTGTTGCGCAAACTGTTCTCATTGTATGAACAGTGGCTGGACTTTTTCTGGACAGACCTTTGTAAATAAAGAGACTCACCCAGTCCATAATTATTCATATACTGAACGGGTTTGAAGCTCCTACTGTGTGCCGAGCACTGGGCGAGGCGCTAGGGGCGTAGCAAGGAATAGCGTCTAGATTCCGACCCCCAGCGTGGCCCCCCTCCTTGATGTTACAGCTTTGGGCAGTAACCCCTCCTGCCAGCGGTCCACCCACATCCCTCTGTCCGCCCGCCAGGAAGCCTCTGAGTCCCATGGTGTCGTCTCTGTGGCTGACGGGAAGCCGCAGGACTCACCTGTTCGTTAATTATCAGTCGTCTTGCTCCTTCCTATGCTGCTTCTCCGCCGCACTGAACTCTGACCCCACTGTCTCTGCCCTCGTTCTGTGAGCTTCCTTCTCCCGGCGGGAAGTTCTGGCGAGTGCCCCCTGGACTGGATGGGCGCTACGGGAGCTGGTGCTGGACAAAGGGGAAGGGAGACCCAGGTCACCTGTCCATGTTTCTTAGCCGCCAACAGAACAGTACCCTTTCCCTCCTGGAGCGGAGGGAACTCCTCTCATCCTGCTCGCCGTGGGAATTCCCACCAAGCAAAGAAACGAACGTGGAAATGTGGGCAACAGGATCTGCTCCGCTCAAAGCTGCCGGCGCGCCGCGCCTGCCTGTGCTGGCACCCAGGGGCCTGGGTGTCACTTCTATAAAACAGGACACGGGGCTGCACCCCATGCTCACGCTCACAATGGGATCCGTTGAACAAAGACAGGGTGTGAGTTTTATTGCCAGCTCTGTGCCAGGTGATGCCAGCGTTTTACTGACTCTGGGTGGGGAGGTGGTGGGGGCTGGGGGGAGCACAGCAGCCCCAGGGGCCTCTGCTTCAGAAAATGCTGCTCGGTTATTCTTGCGGGTTGAAAAGTGGAAGCTTTAGCCACCGTGTGTCTGCCTTTCCGTGATTCATGGCACTCCCTTGTGTGCGTGTCATTCTGTCCCGCCGGACCCCACGTTGTGGACTCAAGGTCTGAGCTCTGTTCCTTGCTGTACGCCCGGCACCGAGCCCAGGGCCTGGCGCAGAGTAAGGGCTTCGCCGAAGTCCGCTCAGCGAGCAAACCAGAGACCGAACGAACGAGTCTCCGGCACTTGGCTCATCGTCGCATACAGAGTGTTCCTGCCGCTTCCAACACGCTCGGTTTTTCTCCGCCTGCAAATCTAGACACTCTGCCAACAGAGCGGCAATAAAAACATGGATTAAATGGGAAAACACAGCGGGACACAAGAAGCAGAACAATGGCTGTGAAGATGGGGCTTGTGTGTGGCACTGAGACTTGGCAGTGCCACCGTCCGCTTTGGGCCAGTCACTTGTCCCTCACCCCTGTGTGCAAGCGGAGGCCCGGGGAGCAGGTGTGGGCGGGGCCTCGGGCCTGCCAGGGGTGGTGTTGGTGGCCGGTGGGGTTCCCCCGGCAGCAGACTCGGAGGTCAAAGTTAGGCTGCAGACAGTGTGTTGGTAATGTTCACAGCTGGCCTCCGTGGAGCAGAGGGAAGGAGAGCAGGCTGTGGCAGAGGGAGACGTTGCAGCCGGGGCCTCAGGTGGAGCCCACAGAGTCCTGTGGAGCCGGGAGGCACCTTGGAACTGTCCCAGCTTCGGCGTGTGGACCCCCAGTCCCCGTGGCTCCTCGGAGCCAGGGTTGTCTCGGCGTCTCCAGGAGTTCTTGGCAGGGTGTCCTTGGCAGTGTGTCCTAGGAATGGGCTCCCAGATCAGCAAACAGCGGCTCCCTGCAAGTTTGCATTCCTTCCGCCCTGATGGCGGCCCCTGCATATTCTTGCAGCTCCCGCTGACTCAGGCAGGGATCCTGAGCTCCTTCAGTGCCCCCCTCCCTCTCAGCCCAGCGGGAGCGATGTGGGGGAGGAACGGGGTGGGTGGAGGCAGGACCTGAGGGTGGCTGATGCCCCCTTGCAGGGGCCAGGCCTCTGCGTCATCTTCAAGCACAGGGAGAGGCCGGCCCTTAAAAGGGAGGCTTAAAAGGGAGGAGTGACCTGGAGGTTCAAGGGAATCTGGAAGGTCAAGGTTTGAGGGCAGATCAACCCAGATGCTTCCCTGCCAGGCCCTGACCTTGCATAGCAGACCTGCCCCGGCTGGGGGTTTCCTCTCTTTGGAGCTCAAGTGTTCTGACAAGGAAGTCCTCAACTGTCCCCGCTGACAAGGAAGTCCTCAACGGTCCCCGCCCTCTCGCGGGATTTGAGAGCTCTCTGGTGCCAGCCGGGAGGGCCGTGGCCTTCACGCGCAGCTCCTGCTTGCCCACAGCCATTGGAGCTTAGCAATAGCCACTCCTGTCCGCTGCCCTTGTATTTCCTCCTCACCCGTGTTTGTAAAGCGTCTGCTCCGTTGCCGCAGCTAACCCTCCCTTCCCCCGGCAGCCATCCCGCCCACCTCCAGCGAGGGTTAGCGAGCGGTCTGTTGCTACCCAGTGCGGGGGTCTCTGCACTCCCCCAACCCCACGGAGGTGTTCTCGGCTCCGGACAAGCAGTGGTTGGTTTGTCCAGCTACAGAACCTCCTCTGAGTGTCCCCTTTCTTCGCATGTCCTCGTGTCAGCCGTCGTGGGCTGGGCTCTCCGGTGGGCAGACGGAGACTGGAATTGGCATGGGAGAGCGATCTGGCAGAGTAGGAGGGAAGGGCGCGTGGCCGGGGAGGGGGAAAGGGCGCGCTGCGGTTCAAGCCCCAAACCAGCCTAAGCAAGGACCTCTGGACACGAGAGGGACCTTCAGAGACGTCCCACGTCGGGGGAGAGGGTCCCACCTATCAAGGCAGCGTGACTCCGAGGGGCAGTGTCCGAAGGGGGCTGACACCCGCCGAAGGGACAGGGGTTCAGTTCCTGATGGGGCCCCTGGGCAATGCACCTCACTGGTGCGGCCTGCTCCTGCCGCACTCCCAGGGACATCGGGACGTGGTGTGCCCGAGTGGACGGACAGCTGCCTCCACCGCGCCAGCCGCGGGGGCAGGGTGCTGGCTCCGGAACAGGCCCTCGGATTCGGTTTCTCTCCTTTCTTGGCTGGCGTCCCTCTCTCCTACCTTCTTCCTCAGGCATCCGCGTCTGAGCCGCCCTGGCCGAGAGCAGGCCGCTTTCCCCCATCAGTTCTGGGACGTGTCTTGGACCAGCCCCAAACCAGTCCTTCTGGCCGGGGCGAGTGGCTTTGGACTGGGGCCAGCAGATAGGATTGACCACACTGGAACCGTAGACGATGGCAGAGAAAAGGGGGGAGCCCCTGGGAAAATCAGGATGCTCCCCCAGAAGGAAGGAGAAGGTACAGGCCCAAGCTTCCAGCAAAGTGTAGCGGGTGAGCCCACCCTCCCTCACAGGGCCCTTCCACGGGGTGGTAGAAAGGGTGCCTCCCTCACCTGTCTCTGCAGCTCTCCCTTAGATGTCCTGGGGAAATCTAAGCAGCAGGTCGTCCCCAGTACGTGAGCCTTTGGAGCAAAGGGTTCCTCTCCCCAGAGCATTTCCATGCACATGGTCCTGCCACAGTAGGAGAGGGACCGGGGCACAGGACACGTCAGTGGCCTGCAGCTGTGTGTGTGCACAGCACAGCCACGGAGCCCGGGGACGGCCCGTGAAGGTCCTCATCTTCTTCCTTGGCGTGGATCTTAAGTTTTTCAAAACCACCCTGACTCCCTGGGAGCCTTTGCATTTTGGGGGGAGTTGGTAAAGACTGATAAAAGTGCTTAAGTTGGGAAGGGATGCTGAGTGCATTGAGAAGGGGTTAGCTCTGGGCTGGGGCTCCTGACAGATGGACGGACGGACGGTGTTCAAGGTGCTGAACCCCGTTTGGGTCAACGAGCCCCAGGGTGTCTGCTTTCCCTGCATCCAGCAGGGCTGACACGTGCTGCGGCTCTCCCCGCCCCCCAGGGTCCCCCCCCCACCATGCTTCCTCCTGGACAGGAGACAGGGCAGGCGCGTGAAACAAACCACGAAACTCAAGCGGGCTCCTCATCCCGACCCCAGAGGGCAGACCCACGGGAGGGAGGCCCACCTGCAGACAGCGGGAGGCCAGCGGGCGAAGGCTTTCCCACGACGGAGGCTCCGCGCGGTGTGAGTCCACGCCAAGCCGCAGGGCTAGCTCATAAGGAGGGCTGTCCGGGGGGCTCCGTCCTCCTATTGGACAGTTGCCACGGCTGCGCTCACTTGCCACTGGGCTCTCCGGAAGGGACTCGGCTGCTGGGCCCAGCGTCACCCTCGTCAACGGCATCAGCAATGTGGCGTTTTTGAGCCCGAACACACGGCCCACACCCTGGTCTGTAAACGATGTAACGCTTTTGCTTCCCGCTCCTCACCAAGCTCCATCTGTTCGTCCTCCGCTGCCCCCGCCCCCCCATCACCAGGCCGCGGAGAGAGGGCCTCCGTCTCCACCTCCCAGCACTACTCACTGCTTTGGGAGTAACTGCGTGCTCACAGCGGTGTGTTTACGTGGCCAGACGTGAGTCGCTGCAGGGCAGAGGGCGGTGCCTACTCACCCTGCATCCTAACCCCCGACCCAGCATCTGAAACTCAGCGCAAAGCCTAGGCCTTGCCACTGCTCCTGGGTCTCCTGGCTTCCTGTGCTGGGTTTGGCCTCTGTGCCTGCACGGCTGCTCCCAGCTGGGGGCTCCCCGGTGGCACTGGGGCGCACTCGGGAAGACCCTGCCGTCGGTGTCACTCGTGCAGACTGTGGAGAGGAGGCCTCCCCCTGTGGAAGGGAGGATAGGGAGCCCGGGTGCCAACTTTGGTGAAGGGGCCCTTCCCAGGAAGGCCACCTGTGGCAGCTGCCCCAGGCCCTCCCCGTGGCTGGTGGCGGGGCCGGGGGGCACGGCCGGGTGGCATCTTGCTTCTCAAACCCCGTGCCTCTTGCAGAAATATTTTTAATTTTAATTTTTTTTATTTTTGAGTGGCAGTAGACATACAATGGTATGCTAGTTTCATGTGCACAGCATAGTGATTAGACGTTTATGTAGTGTTCGGAGTGATCCCCCGATAAGCGCAGTACCCACCTGGCGCCACGCACAGTTGTCACCGTGCAGCTGAGTCTGTTCCCTGCGCTGCACTTCACGTCCGCGTGACTGTTCTGTTCCTGCCGGTGTGTGCTTCTCAGGCCTCCTGCTGTTTCCGCCCAGCCCACCCCCTCCCCCTTCCCATCTGGCAACTGTAAAAATCTTCTCTGCATCTATGAGTTTGCTCCTATTTTGTCTATTTGTTTATTAGGAAAAGAATAAGAGGCCTGTCATCCAGCCGGCTTTCTGTTCTAACCTCGGGTCTGCCACAGCTGTGTGACCTGGGGCAAACGACTTAACCTCTCTGAGTCCCGGTCACCTCCGGCCCCAATCAGACAAGGGATGGCAAGCGCAGTTACTAAGATCTTGGGCTGATGAGGGAGGAGTCGTAGCCAGCTGACAGGCAAAAACTTAATCAGCCCGGTTCAGCTTAGCGCCGGCACGAGTGGAAACCCAGAAACTCCCGATAAAACCTGCAGGCATCACGAGGGTGGCTCGGCAGCCATCCACAGGCTGGCCCTCCCGAGGAGAAGTTAATCCACCAGCACGTGGCCCGCACAGAGAGCTCGGTGTCTGGAGCTCCGGGCTGACGGTCCCTCCGAGAGCTCAGGGCGCGGCCAGCAGCCCCCACCCCGCTGCCCAGCGCTAATATTCTGGGAGACCGGCCCCCACATGCCACGTACAGAGACTACTGACTGGGGGGGAGGGGCGGGTGCAGGGGTTCCCTCTCAAAGGTGGAAAATTTCCTGGAGGGCGAGCAAATGAAGAACCTAACAGTTCCCGAGGGAACTCCCCAAACCCCGTTGCATCTGGGACTAGCCAGGCTCAGCATGAGACGTCTGCTGAACGTCCCGCTGAGACATCCAGGGTCTGATGGGGGAAGGGCTGGGTGGCTGGCTCCCAGAGATCCGCGGGCCCAGGGCTGCCCCGCTGACTCTGTTTCAGCCCCGGTTGACCGCTGCACAGCTGCCCGAAGGGAGACGCCCCGGCCGACCCTCAGCCAGGGCAGAGACCCGCCGGCTCTGCCCTGGAGCGGCCCAGGCGGCCGGGAGCCGCCCTTCACCCAGTGCCGAAGCGTCTTTCTAGTTCCAACGCTGTGCGAGATTCCTCCCGTTCAGTCCAGAAACTCACCCCCATACCTCGGCTCCTGCCCGTCACAGCATCCCCCGGGCCCCCGCTGCTTGGCTCAGAGCCTCTGCTGGCCCCCAGCTGACCCCGGTTGAGTTCCTGTTCCGACGCCACTTTAGACCACACAGGGGGTCGCCTCCCCAGAGCGGTTCTCCACGTTCTAGGTCTTACCAACGTCTCACAGCACAGGAAATGTCTGGCTGGCTGGTGGAATCTTCCAGATCGCCTTCGTTAACACCCTTGTCAATGGGGAAATAACAGGAAGAGGCTTATCTCAGACACAATCGTCCTCGCCCCTGGTTAGCGATAGCCAGATGGAAAATGTGTGTCCACCCTGCAAACGTCCTTGGAACATCTGGGCCCGCGTGTTCCTGTTCGTCCTGTGAGTATTTACTGGGCGTCTACTGCTTTCAAGGCCCCGTGTCGGTGCGGCCTCTCACTCCCGTGGCTGGGGAGAGGACAGAAGGGTGAGGGGCGGGCTCTGCAAGCAGAGGGAGCCCGGGCTGGGCCTGGGGGAGAAGCCCGTGGAGACGGAAGATTCCTGATCTTCACATCCAGCCCCCACCGTCCCCAGCCTCCTGGTTTGTTGACCAGATGGGCAGGAAGTGGGTGCGGCTGAGGTCAGAAGAGACCAGCCAGAGGAGGTGTGAGTGTGGGCGGCACTTCCAGGGGCCACCCAGGTGCCGCTGCATCAGGCCCACACCGGGAGGCCGTCGGCCCAGGCGGCCGAGCCCTGTGCCCGGGGGTTCGGTGTCTGGCAGGAAGCCCTCGCAGCCCTGCTCTAGGCCCCCGGAGTCGGCCCTCAGCCAGCAACCGACGGAGGAGTGGTGGGTGCACATCTCAGCTTCCTCGGCCTTCTGTGGGGATAACCTTGTAAGGTTCCACGCGGCCTCACAGAGTCCCCGGATGGACGGAGCCCCAGGTCCGAACTGACCCGTCTTCTCCCCCACCCGGCTCCCTGCTCTGGGACGAGCATTCATTCGCTTGGATGTCTTCCCTGGCCAAAGACTGGCAACTGAGTCACTGTCCCAGGCCCCGGGGGAGGCAGAGCAGGAGGACATGTCAGGGATGGCCAGCTGGAAGTGTCACAGCTCACAGCCTTCAGGAGGAAGAGAAACCGAGGAAAAGGAGAAGGCTGGAGGATCCCTGGAGTTCTCAGCGTGACGGAGGAGGCCAGGCCTCCCTCCACGGGTGGGATGGTTTTTAAATACCAGGCGATGCCCTCTCATGGCCAGAAGGCGTGGGGGCGCACCAACTTGACAGTGACGATGTGCTCACTGCGTGTGTCCTCGTGTGGCCTGGCCCCGGCCGAGCTCCTGGCGGTGCATGTCAGAACCCCCCTCTCCCCTGGGCTGCTTTGGGTCTGCACTGCATGGCAGGTTCTGCTGCCGCAGCCACCTGTGTCCTCAGATCAGGGCGCAGCGCCGGGGCAGGGAGCGCACCTTCCTTATTGGGTCTCCACTGCCTTGTTGGTGTGGGACGGGACCACTCCCCTCGCGGTGCCCAGAGAGCTCAAACGAGACGGCTCTGAACTGAGACGTCTGTGGGCGGAGGTGGCGCCCGGCTCACCTCTGTGTCCCCAGGGCCTCGCCCAGCACTGTGCACACTAGACACTTAAGGCAGGCAGGCAGGTGGGTGACAAGGCCACCCAAAGCTGTGCTCTCCACCCTTCCCCTGGAGAGGCCCCTGAACCTGGGCCCCAGTCGCCCTCTGAACCTGGAGCTCTAAGACCGCCACTGCCCCCCAGGACACTCACTCAGGGCTCCTGGATGCCACTGGATGCCACTTGCTCTGTCCCTGGAACGCCCAGGCCACTGTCACTTGGAACCCTACCCTCAGTCACTGCGTTCACAGAACCGAGGCACAGGGGGCATCTGGTCTTACGTGAGCCCCTGTAAGGCTCGCACGGATTACCTATTCCCAGGAGCCCTCCTGGAGGTGGTCGCTGGGACCCCTGCCTCTCCAGCCTCAGTGGGTGCAGGGGCCGCCACGGGCTGCCTGGGGACCAAGCCAGCCCACCGCCGGCTTCTGTGGAACACGCTGCCCTGGGACACGGCCAGGCCCTTACATGGGTGTTGTCTGCGGCCGCACTTGCCCCCAAGGTCACCGTCCAGCAGGGACCCAGAGCGGGAGGCATTTTCTCCGGGGTGCTTCACGGAGAAAGTCCGCCCACCCCGCGCTGGGAGAGCCCCGACCACCCGCCGCTCAGGTTCTCCAAACCGCTGCTGCCCTTCCCGCCGCCGGGCCGGGCGTCTCCGAGGTCCAACCCCCTGTCCTTGTGCCGGCCAGAGCCCTCCCAGTGGACGGAAACTGTGTCTGTTTATGTTACTCACCATCCAAATAGCTGCCCGAGACTCGGCCCCACCCCCACCCCGGACACTCCTGAGTGTACTTCACGGCATCTTCCTGGGAGAGGCCCGTCGTTTCCCAACGTAGATCCGACGAGAGGGTGGCAGCCAGCCCGTTAGAGACCCATCTTGGGGCCACTGGTTCCCACGGGAAAACTGTGTACAATCAGCTTCACGTCCGCTCCCCTCTGGCCAAATATCTCAAAGCAGGGTGAGCCCTGAGCAGCCGAGGTCCAGCCTGGGAGAAGCCCAGAGCTCAGTGGAATTCCAGACACTCCCCCAGAATTGCCTCTTATCTGCCCCAGCACCAGCCTCTCCCCAGCTGCAGAGTTTCAGCAATGAGACGAGTTTCTGCCTTCCCAGACTATTTTATCTCCACGAGGACTCAGTTTGTCTAGTTAGTGCAGCTACCCGGGAATTCCTTGCACTGCACCGAGAATGCTCACTACCAGGCCCTGCACCCCACGCCCGGTGTTCCCGGGGCCCAGCACCCGTGCACTGAGCCCGCCCTGCAGGGCCGGCCCAAGGCTCTTCCAGGAAGAGCGTCCACACAGCAGCCAGGGCCCGGTGGGGACCGTCCCCAGAGACGCCCGGAGCTGTGCGGTGTGGGGGCCCTGGCCTGAGGGCCCGGCTCCTCGGACACTGCTGCTGGGGGCCTGGCAGGTGAGCTGGACACCGGGCTGCAGAGCTGAGCCTCAGGCGGCCGTGGCCTCTTCATTCATGAGTGTCCATGGGTGCCTCGGACTCTCGCTGGGACCTGGGCTCTGGCCGCGTGCCCGTGAAGAGGTGGCGAGAAGGGGGTGCAGGGGCCCTGCTGCAGGGGCTGGACGAGCCAGGTGAGGACTGGAGGAGATTAGGAGACACACTCTATCCAGAACCAGGCTGGGGGTGTGCGGCACGTTAGCAGGGCACGCTGCTGGTGAGTTGTGAGCAAAATGTGGAAATAACGCTATGGTGTGGAGTCCCACGGTACTCAAGAAGTTTCTAGGGGCAACGTCCTGTTAGGATAGATGTTTTTCATAGCTGGCCCTTTAAGAAAACCCATATTCCACCTCTGCACGCGGCCAGCGCTGCCAGCTAAGTGGAACCGAACCCTCAGGATCTGACCCGCCCCGCGTGGCAGGGACAGGGCGGTGAACGAGGCTGGCGGGACCCTTGCCTCGCGGGGCCTGGACTCTGTCGGGCTGGACGTCCGGGCGGACACGTCCATTCACTCAACGTGCACAAATGAGCGCCCTGTGTCAGGCTCAGAGCAAGAAAACCCACCCAGAGCATAGAAAATCATTCTCATTGTGAAACCGCATCCTTAACATTGAAACTCAGCCCACCCTACAAGGTGCAGGCGCAAGCTGACCCTTTGAAATCTGTATAATGTCAGGTGGGCACAAGGGGTCTTTGATATACAGCGGCCAGAAGGCTCCAGCCAGGCGGGCAGCTCTGCCTGGGACCCCACCGCGAACCCTGCTCCGTCCCCTGGATCCACGGCAGCGCTTCCGCCCTCCCGCCGTGTCGGGCACAGAGGCTGGGCTGAAGAAGACAGAAGACCCACCCGGAAAGGCTCAGAGGCTATTGAACAAGCAGACGGCAAAAGCCAGAGTGAGGGGCAAAAGGAAGGTTAAGAAGTGTCTTCTCTCGTTATCCCTGCGAACACCCAAGTTCCCCTAACACTGGGAGACCCCCCAGAGCACAGACTGAGTGATCTCTTTATGCCCCTTGGTGGGTGGAGGCCAGAGCGGCAGCCATGGCGAAGAGAGTGTGACCCTCGGTGCCCCTTCCGTCGGTGCCATCCCTGTGTGTGGCTGGGCCCCTGGCACCCACAGCAGGGACCCACGAAGATGAGGCCATGGAGCCGTGACGAGCTGTACGACGAGGCCTTGACGACACTCCCACCCTCCTGTGTGGCCACGGGGCTGGATGCAGAAGGGACCCCTCGCTCCGCCGCAGACCCGCGGCACCAACATGGGCACCTACGTGTTATTGAGATGAACCCAAGACGAGCTGGGAAACCGCTTGGTGTCTCAGTAAGGACGTAGTTCATACGCCGCCGCACAGCCGCGTGTTGCCACGAAAAGTGCGCATTGCTGTGAAGAGGTGCCCACAGAGGGCAGCTACAAGGAAAGAGGGCAGTGTTCCACTGAAACGTGCGTTTTATGTAGGCAGACGTTCACGCCCGTGCCTGCATGGGTGCATTCCTGCAGGCGGTAGATGTTACTTCTGGGTGCTGACGTCGCGGGTGATTGATGCCTCCCCTCACTCACCTGTTGCTCTAAGGGTCCTGTCATGAACACAAATGACTCCCGTGATAAGAAAAACAATGAAGGGCATTTTTAAAACAAACAAATGGACGTGTCAAACCAGCAGGCTCAATTCAATCTGAAATAATCAGAGCTGTCGCTCAGGGGTGATCCCTATTTGCTTCCCGGCGGGCGAACAGCTCCCAGCAGCTGTGCTTCGGCTCACAACTGCCCCGTGAGAAGGGCGTGGTCAGGCCGGGGTCAGAGCTCACAGACGGAGCCCAGGACAGCCCAAGTGGCCGGCCCAAGGCCGCACACAGCTGGTGACCAGTGTGGGGAGTCCCATCAGCCCTGGCTGATAAAGCCTCTTCTCTCGATTGCTTCCCGACACCGCCTAGTGAAAAGGAGATGCTTCTGTCGTAGTCCATTTGCCGACCGGGCTGCTGTGACAACTGCCACAGCCCGTGCAGCTAGCTGATCCAAAACGGAACTGCGTTTCTCACGGTTCCTAAGGCCAAGATCAAGGCGCTGGGAGGCTGGGTGTCTCGTGGGGGAGGACCTGCTGCCTGGCTCACAGACGGTC